GGGAAGAGTTCTGAACAAGCTGAAAGAAGGAGGAAGGGCGAGACCCTGAAACAGCCAGGCTTTCCAAAGCAGAACAGTACCACGGGGCTCCTGGGCTACCTGCAGCCACATGACCAGCCCTCCACTGACTATTTCCAGCTGATGGAAACTGCAGGCCAGAGTGGTCCAGGATGCATCTGTGGAGGACAGGAGGCCCCAAACCTCCAGAGTTTAGTGGCTGGAATGTACTTTTATCCAGAGAAAAAGGTAAGACAGGAGCAAATGTCAGGCCTGGGCTGCTGATGTTCACAAAGCCAGCTGAGGGGGTATATCTGAGCAGACAGCCCATGGCCATCTACAGTTCCATCTCCATTCCTGTGGCCCAGAACCAAAGTTCAAGGTTCTTTCCTTGATGTAAAGAACATCACAGCCAGTGCACTCGAGCATACACTAGTACCTAATCCATAAGGGCCTTCGTGCATCAGAGGCCTCTCTGTGCTGCTGTAGGAACAGAGCCCTGCCACCCTGTCCACTCCTACTGCCTACAGCACATCTCCAACAGGGAACAAGCTCTGTGTGCCATCTTCCTGGTGGGAATCCAAGTACCAAAACCTTAGCTTGATGGAACTGGACTCAGCCCTTTCAAGCTGGAGTCCTGCCTCTAGCTCATGGAGGAGGGAGGAGGCCTGACCTTTGTGAGACAGCTGTAGAGTTGGCCATAGAGATGGGGAGGGCTGCAGGCAGTTGAGGACATCTCAGTAAGGGGCATTCTGCCCTTAGGGCTGCTGCTGAGTGTGAGAAGAGGATTCAGTAGGGGACACTGGTCCAGCTCAGTACCAGTTTCCCTATGTGGGGCTGAAGGACATTTTGCTGTTGAAGCTGCCATGCATCAGCTGAAACTGCCAAGGGGCAGGACCTCTGTGACAGCTGGTTTATGCCATTGCAGGAGTCCATTCTGCCTTCCTCAGCCTGCACTTGGGAGCCTCATATTTTCATAGTTGGTAGGGTCGGAAGGGACCTAAGCAGATCAAGTCCGACCCCCTGTTGTGGGCAGGAAAGGATGCTGGGGTCAAACGACCCCAGCTAGGTGGTTGTCTAGCCTCCTTTGAAAGACCCCCAGGGTAGAGGCAAGCACCACTTCCCTTGGAAGTTGGTTCCAGCTCCTAGCCGCCCTGACTGTGAAGTAGTGCCTTCTGATGTCTAGCCTGTCTCTACTCTCAGTCAATTTATGGCCGTTGTTCCTTGTTACTCCTGGTAGTGCTTAGGGGAACAGAAACCCTCCCATTGCCTGCTGGTCCCCCTTGCCAAGTTTATAGGTAGCCACCAGATCCCCTCTCGGCCTTCTTTTGTGGAGGCTGAACAGGTTCAGATCCCTTAGCCTCTCCTCATAGGGCCTACCCTGCTGCCCCTTGATCATGTGAGTGGCCCTTCTCTGGACCCTCTCAATGCTGTCCACATCCCTCCTGATGTGCAGTGCCCAGAACTGGATGCAGTACTCCAACTGCGGCCTGACCAATGTCGCATAGAGGGGGAGGATCACCTCCTTGGACCTGCTTGAGATGCATCTGTGGATGCATGACAAAAGTGCGGTTAGCCTTCCTGACAGCGTCCCCACATTGGCAGCCCATGTTCATCTTGGAATCAATAGCGACTCCAAGATCCTTTTCTGCCTCTGTGCTGACAAGAAGGGAGTTCCCCAGCCTGTAGGTCTGCTGCTGGTTCCTCCTCCCCAGGTGCAACACCTTGCACTTGTCCGTATTGAAACCCATCCTATTCTCATCCGCCCACCTCTGTAACTTGTCCAGATTTAGTTGTAGCCTGTCCCTCTCTTCTAGCGTGCTCACTTCTCCCCACATCTTCGTGTCATCTGCGAACTTGAACAAGGTACTTTTCACCCCCTTGTCCAAGTCGCCAATGAAGATATTGAACAGTGTGGGCCCGAGGACCAAGACCTGGGGAACCCCACTGCCCACATCCCTCCAGGTCAAAAATGACCCGTCCACCACCACTCTCTGGGCGCAGCCTTCCAGTCAGTTTGTGACCCGTCTGACTGTGTAGGCGTAGACACCACAGTTGCCTAATTTTTTAATGAGGATGGGGTGAGAAACAGTGTCGAAGGCCTTCCTAAAGTCCAGAAAGACTACGTCCACCATGACACCTGCGTCCAAGGCTTTTGTGACCTGGTTGTAGAAGGCAACCAGGCTGGTCTGACAGGACCTGCCTCTAATGAACCCATGTTGGTTGCCCTTAAGCATAATCTCCCCTGCTGGTCCCTTGAAGATGTGCAAGAGCTTCCCCAGGACCGAGGTAAGACTAACAGGCCTATAGTTTCCTGGGTCCTCTTTCCTCCCTTTTTTGAAAATGGGGACCACGTCGGCCCTTTTCCAGTCCTCTGGCACTTCGCCAGAGCACCATGAGTGCTCATAAAACCATGCCAGGGGTCCCGCAATGACCTCTGCCAGTTCCCTCAGCACTCTGGGGTAGAGATCGTTAGGACCTGCTAATTTGAACATGTCTAGTCCCTCCAGAAGTTCCCTGACTAGGTCCTTACTGACCCTGGGCATGGCTGCGCCTCCCCTGTGTCCATCCAGAATCCCAGTGCGGGGGCTGACCCGGTCCCTGCTCAGAAAAATGGAAGCAAAGAACCTGTTAAAGAGATTAGCTTTGTTGTCTGGTGCTACCACCAGATTATCAAGCATGTCCTGCTCATCTGGCCCCAACTGGGAGGATTCCTAGATGCTCTTAGCCAAGTGCTTTGTGGGGTGGGGGCAGAAGGAATTTTTCAGAAATGCATCTTATTCCATAATGCCTCCTGCCCAGCTAGAATGACCTGAACCCAGTACTTCAAGGTCGTTCCTCCCCTGCCAGATTCAGCAGCTAGTCAGGAAAGGAGGCTGGTGCTCCAGGTTGTGCTTCAAAACATGAGATGAAAAATGAGCTTGTGTGGGAGAGGGTGGGTAAAGAAAGTGAGGAGGTAAAGCACAAAAAGTAGGAGAGTAGGAGAGCCACGTGGGGGCAGTAGTGCTCCACAGATCTTAGTAGGGATGGGTTAGCTGCCAGCTAGGCTCCCAGCCACCCAGGTCCAGCCTCATGTCCACTCAGCTGAGGACACAAGCAGTGAGGTGAGATGTTTGAACTAAGCACTGGTCCCTGCCCCATGACATTATCAGAGTCTGAGCTTTTATGATGGATCTTGGTCGCCCTAAAAGGGATCACAGGATGTGGTTGGCTGCAATGGCAGAGGACCAGACTGATGCACAAGGCCCTAAGCAGTTCTACCTTCCCATAGGCGAGTCCATGCCTGGATGGGCTCCACGGGGGACCAGCTTTGCTAGGAACAGCAATACTACAGCAGTGTCAGATCAGTAGGAGTCTCCCAGCTCTGCTGTCTCCACTGACCCGATGAAGAAAAGTGCGTATCTAACAGGCTGTAGGGCAGAAATTCTCAACCAGGTGAGACAACCACCTGAGGTGCTGTGATCCTTTTAAAAGGTGCTGCACACTATTAGCAGTGCTAGATGTGCAAACACCTATATGTGATTCACAAGATAAACTCAGAGTGTTCAAACAGGAATCCAGAGAGTCAAAATCATTTTGCCATGCTATGAGCTTTCTGAGTTCTTTGCAATAGGAGCATTGCTCTATTTTTCTGTAATCAAAAAAGACAAATGAAAGCTCAGAGCTGGCAGTCTAGATGTTTTCTGAGGGAGTGCCTTGCGTCCCACAAGGTTAAGAAGCACTGATCTAGGCCCTGTGGTGTCCTGGAGTATGGCAAGAGGAAAGGGAGAGTGAAAAAGAAGTGCTCTCCATTTACTTGACAGCTTGAAAGAGCTGGGTGGCTCTGGTATCTGTCACCACTGGTTTGTTTTGCCATGCAGCACTGAATAGAGCAGCAAAATGGATGAGTCCCCAACTAGGAACCAAGGGTCTCCTGCCCATAGCAGAGAGAAGACATGAAGAGGGCGAGCCCAAGCAGCATGAAACACCAGCTCCCTGGGCCCTGCTCCCCAGCCCTGTGCAGATCAGATGTAGTTAAGAGCTGGATGCCTCACAGCTTTAGAAAATCCACTTGCACCTCTGTCTGCATCCTCAGGAGCCCAAATACCTTTATCTGTTCCTCCTCCAGCTTTGCTTCAGTTCCGTCTGCAAAATTGTGACTGTGCCAGCATAACCTACAGAGGTTCTGTGAAGATAAACTTGTTACAGTGTGAGGCACTAAGATACTGCAATGATAAAGATCAGAAAAATGCCTGGGTTAGCTACAAGGGGCCCTCATCATGGGCCAAGGGGGAACAAAAGCAACCAAGCCCAAAGAGAGAGCTGTGCAAATACCAGGCACCCTCTCACATTCCCAGTGGGACATATGGGGCAGCTTTCTAAGATGAGGGGAAAAGACATTCCCGCCAGTGGGGGCAGGCAGCTGGACAAGGGGCTTTGATGGGCTCCTAAGAAGCATGCAAGAGTGCCAGGCAACGAGTGAGCTGGCAGCTGCTCACACAGTTGCTAACTGCTCTTGGCTCCTACCTACTGAGGCCAGGGCCGTGACGTGTTCATTTCTATCCAGAGCGCCAGCTGTCATGTGATGAGATCAGAATGTGGCTATTGATTGCAGATCACTGTGCAGCCCTCTCCGCATGCAGGGGGAGGGGAGCAGCAGCTGAGCGTCAGTCTCTGCAGTTGCCCAGGATGTTTCCCCCAGTGCCCAGGCAGAAGCAGCGAATGGGGGAGAGCCCCACTGCAACAGGGACAGGCTTTGCACAGCGGAGAATGCTGCAGTGTGCAGCCAGTCCACTCTGCAGCAGAATGAGCCAAGATGACCTATGGGGCATGTGACTGGTAAATTCAGGGAGAGGTGGGACTCTCCTGATTTCCATCCCTTCTGCAAAAGCACGAGCCTGCAAATTGGGGCTCTGAGGTCCTTGCCCCAGCTCTGCCACTGCCTGACTGCATGCCAGACCCCTTCTCTGCACCCTGCCTCAGTTTCCCCATCTGTATGAGAGGAATGCAAGTAGTCCCTCAAGCCTGAGCACACTGGAATCAGAATCATGCTTCCCTCCCAGCAGGGCCCAGCTGCTTCCGCTTCACCTCTTCCCCAGCACTGTGGAGTAGGGAGGAGGGATAGGGCTCTTACTGGGCAGAACCAAGGGTATCTTGGTCCAGAGCATGCTTCAGCCTGTGCCTGTCCAGCAGGATGCACATGCTGAACCAAGTGCCCCTTGCACCTTGTTGGAGCTAGGCAGGGGGGAGATTATGTTTCAAGGCTGGGATTAGGCCGGGGGATTAAACTGCAGCAGCAGCTGCTGCTCCAGGGAGCACAGAATAAAATCATTAATTATAGGGACAAAGGGAGCCAGAGCTGCAACCCAAGAGGGAAAACCCCACACGCATCTGCCCACAGGAAGTGCCAGGGGGCACCTTTCCCCAGGGAGCTGACCTGGAGTATCCAGCAATGTAGGCAGCTCCTGCACAGCCTGCAACGCTATGGAGAGGCTGGGCATTCAGCTCTTGGCCAGGAGCCTCCCAAGATTCTCAAGGCAACCTCAGCCCTTATTCCACTTCAGATCAAAGGGACCTCTTTCTTTGGGGCTTGCAGTACCACTAATGCTAAAGCACCCAAACCGCACAAAGCAGCCACCCCTCCATCCTCTCCCATCCCCACACGGGCAGATAAATAAAAGTCAAAAGCCTCAGCAAGCTGAACACAGGAGATGCTTTCCTTTGCCTTGTGCCCCTTTAGGACTGCACAGCAGAGACTGCTTGGGGGCATTTTCCAGCTTCTCTACAAGGTTAAGAAACCTGCCCATCTCATATGATCACATGACTCCAAGAGCTGGAGCTAAGAGAGCCACTAAATAAATCCTCAAAGAAGGGGAAACACCAGATTCAGCCCCAAGAAGCAGGTGGGGGAACACTGGAACCTGAAGGTTGGAACCTCTGGGTCCCAGCAGCACCAGCCCAGCCCAGCCCAGCCCAGCCGCTAGCCAGAGTCAGAAACCCTTTCTTCCCTCAGCCCTTGGCCTTTCTCTTGGGTGCACGCAAACAGTAGTTACCAGGAGGCATTAGCAGATGGACCCTGACTGGTAAGGCAGGTCCCTAAACATCATGGCCCTGTCTTCCAGAACAGGAAATAAGGCTCTTCAGACAATGTCTTTTGGGCTACACAAATTAACCCCCTAATATTTAAAAGGCATACTGGTTCAAGTCAGACAACACGTCAATACCAGTGGGAACAGTAATACTGGTAACTGCTGGGCAGGTAGCCAGGTACCTCTGGGAACTCCTTTCACAGGACAGTCCTGCCCCGGTCAACAAAGAGCAGACTGTACTCTTATGAGAGTGGTCTTGAACAAACACTATCATTTTCCACTCTCTGGACCAGACGTCGAAACCATCACCCACTGCTGGCTCCAACCAGGTGCAAGGGGCACTTCTTGGCCCAGTACATGCATCTTCCTGAGCAGGCGTAGGCTGGCGGCTTCCCCCCCCACCAGTCAGGATGCACACTCTGTGCCAGGTCACCCTTGGCCCTGCCCAGCAGGGTTCCAGCATGGGACCCAACCCCTCCCCCTGCTCCATGATGCTGGGGAAAGAAATAGCAGAGGGCACCCTAGAAAGCAGAGTCGCCTGGTTGCTTTACCCCTTGAAGAGCAGGAAGTGGGTAAGCACCCCTGCACAACAACAGAACAGAGGACACTCCGCAAGCCAGTAAGCAAGACATTCCCCAGATCTTGGCTTGCCGTCAGCATGGAGAGTGCCCAGCACACCACAGCCAAGGCCTACTTTTAAAATAGTTTATTTCTGGTCTTAAAATATACATCAGTTTGAAAATCTCAGAAAAAAGAGAGCGAGAACATGTTAGTTGCAGATTAACAGTCTGGAGTTGGGGGCTGAAGAGCAGGAGCTACTCTAGGCCCCCAGAGTCAATACTGCCCAAGATGAGTAGGAGTGCCAAGGGCAACGCATGCTGTCCCATGGGAGGGGCCTGGGAGCAGGCTGCTCTTCCACTCCTGGCTCCGTGCTCTGCTCTTGCCCAGTCGGATTCAGAAGATGGCACTGCAGGATGAGCAGGGAGCAGCTGGAGGTCAGGGGCACTCCCTTTGCCCCTCTTCACCCCCTCCCCACTTTGCTGCCAGTCTCCTGTGATCAAAGGCAGAAGGGCGATGAGCTTTGCCTGACACTGGCCCTCTCTACCTGCTCCAGCAACCAGGTGGCTTTAAGCACGGCCCTTGCAGGGGAGCCACACACCCCCAGCTGAAGCCGTGAGTGGAAGCTGCTCTCACTATGACGGCTGTCACTGGGTCCCCCTACAATAACTGGCTCAAGTGACAAGGAACAGACAGCCAAGGCCAGGTCTGTGCCAACAGCACCACTGTTGCTCCCAGCATGAACTCGCAGCTCAGTGGGGAGCCACCAAGCAGCCTAGGAAATTTGGGAGTTAGCAAGCTGCTTTCACATGGGAGCAAGTCTGGGCCCCGGTGCCTGATCATCAGGAGAGCCCTTGGGACCAGGAGGCAGCAGCAGCAGCATGGACCCTGCAGCTTTTGCTCGAGGCATGGAGAACACGGGAGAAAAAGAATGCAGCAATGGAGGAGTCAAGCAAGGCAGGGCAGCCCCATCTCCAGGGCACTGAGGAATAGCACGTTGCAGGCTAAGCAGAGGCTCCCGCCATCAACATTGATCTGTTAGCAAGTCCCACTGAGTCCCACATTGACACTAGCAAGCAGTACTTCCACACTGAGCTCAGTGGCAAGGAACAAGCCAAGTACACAGACAGCAGCTACAACCACTGCCCAAAGATGACCCACACAGAAAGCAGCCCCTGAAGGGTCCAGACACCCACAAGAGAAGACAGCAATTCCCTTTCACAGGCCCTGGAGCCTCCAGGCGAGAGCCAGGATGTAGCTTAAGCCATGTCTGCCATGAGCTGCAAACAGAAGGACTCAGGGAGGAGTACTGCCTACAGGTCAGGAGCGGGATCCCTGGACAATTGCAACCTGCATCTTTGTATTGGCATGCAAGTGGAAGCTTCTTCCCTGCACAGAGGGCCTGCACTCTTCCCATTCAGCCTAAGAGCAAAGTGCCAACACAGAGGAAGGCAGGACACCACCGCAGCACCTGGTTCAGAATAGAAGGAGCGGGGCTGTCTGCCCGGGGCTCCCATGGAGTAATACCTGTCATTGGAGATTCAAGTATTGGGGGGGGTGCCCTGGAAGTAACTGATACCATGGTTCCAGCCCCAAAATAAAGACACCAACACTACAGACCTGTATCCAGTGTCCCCCCCCCCACCTGCCCTTGAGACATGGAGCACACAACACTGAGAAGGGAAACCAGACCAACACACAACACAGAAAGAAAAAATCAAAACAAAACAATCCACCCCCCAACACACGCGCACACACACAAGGAAGGTCCTGGATAGGCACCGGGGCCAGCCCGGAGCCCAGCCAGGAGGGGCACCCAGGCAGAGAGCCCTACAACAGGCCACGACTGGGCCAGAAAGTACCACCTAGCAGTGATGAGCACTGCTCCTCAGACCTCGCCCTCTCTCCCAGATAACCCTGGGCCTTACTGAGGCACTGCCCAGAGCAGTGCCACAGACCCAGCGCTCTCCTTCACTGATTCTTGGCTCCATGCTCCCCTGGAGCAGGAAACATCTGATTCTTGGATCCACATAGATCCTCTGCAGGAGGAAGCTCAGGAAATGGGGGGCAGAGGCTGTGGGCCCCTCTGGCAGGACTTGCTCACCACACCCCCATGCCAACAGCAGATGGGCTCCTGACCACCCTGCTCATTTATGGAGAAAGGGGTGGGGATGGGGGCAAGAAACACCACAAATTTTAAAACCAGAGGTCTGGCGGAAGAAAACGGGACCCCCCAAGAGCAGAGTGTTAGCACTATCCAAATGAGAGGCACAGGTCAGTGCGCCTGTACAGAGATGGGGACACACCCACCCCTCACAACATGCCTGGCTGGGTAACTGCAGGGCCCCAACTCAGGGAACCAGCCCGGGGCAGAGGGGAAGAGGGCTCTCCCAGGGTGCTGCCTCCACAAGAGCCACATGGTGGGGCTCCATGAGCCCACTGATGGGGCTCAATTTAAGATGCTGGAGAGGGAGGAGGAGCACCACCCCACCCTCTCCACACCCCATCCTCTCCACACAGGGTGGGAGAAGCAAAGCAAGGCAGCAAAAACAGAATGCCTACAAGCCACTGCTCCCAGACAGAACCAGGGGGATGGGCAGCAGGGAACACCCACCTGCTGGGAGAGTCCTAATGCCCCGCTCATGGCCTCGCAAGGGCAAGATGAAAACAAGCAAAACTCTTGCCTTACTGGCACAAGTTGAAAGGTTGGTGTAAAGCTGCAATGAGCACCAGAATGAAGATGAACATGACTGCTGTTGCCAAGGCAAGGAGGGGCACTGGCACAGGGATGAATGAGCGGGGGGGAGGACACGGACGACACACCAGGGTGAAGTGCCCAGATGAAGCACGAGGAGCAGACACAGAGCACAGTGTGCTAGTACATGCACACCCGAGCATGTATTCTGGTGCTGTGGGTGTGAGGAGCCAGGGGCGGATCCCAGCTCCTCTGAGTACCAAAAGCAAAATAAATAGAAAGTATTAGGTGCTGAGCCTGGGGTCATCCTCTCCACCCCCACCCTTGGATGAAGGGTGCTGGACACCCCCATTCCTGTGGAGGCAGCTACAGCACTGCACCTGGGTGCTGCTTCCTCCCCAGCCTCAGTTGAGCAGGTTGCCCTGCTCCTGGGCTTGCGTCAGGCTGTCCTTGCGGTGGAGATGGTGGACCCCCATCCTTTTGGGGCTGCGGTGTGGCCGGCCAGAGGGAAGCTTGCCCCTGCACTCCCCGCTCTCCTCCAGGGTGCCCCCATGGCTGCTCTCTTTGCTCCCTTGGAGCAGGATTTCCCTTTCCTCTGCTGGGCTCCCAGGCGAGCCCAGGTCCACATAGCTCTTGCTCTTTGGAGGGGGGCTGTTAGGCTCAGCAGTGCTTCCTCCACTGCCCTGGAGCAACTTCTGGGCCTCGTCCTGGGAGAAGTCCATACCATAGTCAGAGAAGTGGCTCCTGCGGGCCCGAGACTCAGTGCTGTCAGTGTCCACGCTCGAGTCCCGGCTCACAGTCCAGCTGCAGCTCTGCGCAGACTCCTCACCATCTGAGTAGGCAGAAACCGCCCTGCCCAGCTCCTGCATGGAGCGGCTGAAGCGCTTCTGGAGCTCTGGCGCTGTGTCGCGGCTGAAGGCAGTGCGGTTCACCAGCACCCGCTCCGAGGAGGGGGGTGCCCTGTCCACAAACATCCGCTGCCAGTTGGCCAGGAGGTCTTCCTCAGAGCTGGCAGAGCTGGCAAAGGCGCTGGGGATCTGGGGCGGGCTGCTGAAAGGGCTGCTCTGTGAGGAGCCATGGGCCCGTGCCGCTTTGGGTGAGGGCTGGTAGGAGCAGCTGGAGCCTGAGTGGCGCCCCTCAGAGGCAGGGCTATTGGGGAGTGTCCGGTGCCTGTCACAACTCTCGTCCTCGCTCTGTACCAGGCTCAGGGAGATGGCCTGCCGTGTGGCATAGGTGCAGTTGGGCAGGGGGCTGTTCTTCGGGATCCTCACCTTGTCCTCTGAGAATTCAATCACCTTGCGCCCTGGGTACATGGGGTGGGGAGGGGAGGGTGTGGGGTAGGGGCTCAACTTCTCAAAGGCAGGTGCCTCCTCTGTCAAGCTCTCCACACTGCTCTGCGGTTTGCAGCCTCCGTTCTGCTGCTTTCCAGCCTCTCCTCCCTCCTTCCCAGGCAGGCCTGGGCTGGGGCAGGCATCAGGCACACCTCCTCCACTCATGTCCACATGCACAAAGACGTCCTCAGCCACGGGGCAATTGCCACTGCTGGATTTGGCAGAGTTCAGCACCAATGACTCGGGCTTCTCCAGGACTCTGGCAATGACTGAGGTGGGCACAACGTCAGATGGGGCCAGGGTGTGCGTTGCCTCCTGGCCAGGGCCTGGGGGATCCTGAGTGCTGTGGAGGTGCTTGTTGACCATGTCCTGCAGCTCGTAGGGAAGCTGTGGAGAAGGAGAGAGGGCATCAAGCAGTGGCTGAGACAGCATCTCAGATTCCGCAATGCCAGGACAGGCTGGGACAAGACACAAAGCAGCAAATACAACGCTTGCTCCACCAAGCAAGAGCAAACACACCCTGCAATGCTGCACACACTACATTCCCCTGTCCCCAAGCACTTCAGATCGTCTCCCTGTAGAACAGGCTCTTGGCTCCCCAGCAGAGTTAACTGAAGGCAGCTGTGGATGGAGCCCACAGGAGCCCACACCAGGCCTGACCGATGGACCCCATTCAAAAGAAGAAACGAGATAGTGCACACGGCTCGGGCCTCTCAACTCCTGGGCTGGAGTGGAGGCCTAGACGATGCACACTCAACAAAGAGAGCTATTGATCTGTGGAAAAAAAAATCAGCTGGTGGCTGCACTGAAGTGACTGAACAGCTCCCAGTGCCAGGATCCACAGCTCTCAGGGCCCCAGCAGTAATTACAGCCCTGCTGCCTTGGCAGCCTGCCCTGTTCTGGGATCAGAATCAATGGCTGTCCTAGCACTTCCCAACTCTCACCCTGCCCAGTCGCCTTGCCGAGGCATCAATGCCTGGGCAGGAGCAAACTCTGGCTGACTCCTCCACCTTGCAGAGGTTTAGTTCCTGGGGCCGAGCTCTCAAATCCAGGAGAGATGACACTCAGAGGGAGTCAAGCACCCAGGGAACAGTTCACTCACATCTAGGACTGGAATCTAGTAAGGGGTTAGCACCAACACTCACACTGACTAGCCAGGCTCCATAGGTCTATTCCACTCCCTAGCATCTTGCCTATTAAACACCGTTGTCCGTTGACAGGCAGGGATAGGAAAGTGGCAATGAAGATAAGCAGAATCCCTGCTGCAACATGCCAACACCCAAGACTGTCAGAGCTGGACCAAGAGGGACCCTGCATACAGACAAGTGGGTCCCCAGTGTGGCTAGAGCTGGGCAAAAAGCAGAAGGTTTCTTTACAACTGCTCAGTTCCACTCTACCTCCACTGGCATCTGAGTGAGGCCTGGCTCTCTGGGCAGAATGCAAACCTCCTGTGAGGGGAGACAGCTGGGAGAGGTCAAGGTTACCACAGCAGTAACTGATACAATGACCTCAGGAGTGCTAATTTGAGACACGTCTGGGGAACGACATATCAGTCACCTGCTATTTCACGAAAGATGAGCACCAGGGTTTGCTGAGAGGAGCCTCTAAGGGGCTAGGGAACAATGAACATACAGGATGAGAATAATGGCACTGAAGCCCGCCCACTGCTTCAGGTGCATGAAACGTCAGGATGAATGTGAAATACCCTAGGCCTAGGTGCCTCACTCACCCACCAGGGCAGGGCAGGGCAAGGCAGCATGGGACAGGCTATGCTGGTCCCCAGACCCACACACGCAAGGTTCTGGCCTCCTGCATTCATGAAGCTCAAACACCCATTCTGGGTTGAGAAGTACTCGCCAGGGCTGGGAGCTGACATACTGGTTGGCACCCCAAGTCTTCTCTTCCATCTCACAACCCCAGCAAGTGTGAGGGAACCTGGCACAGGGGACCCTTCAATGGCAGATCAGCCAGCTAGGTCCTCAGCAGACAGCACAGGCCTCACATATGGCCAGGTGATAAGCAGAAGAGGACAAAGAGGCAAGCGAGAGGCCTGTTTTCCTGCCAGCTCCCACCAGGCACCCAAAAGGCTATCAAATTCAAAGCTATTATGCCCGAGACACCCCACCCCCCATGCCCTGGAAAGGCAGCTTTTTATGACAGTTTCGACAGAGATGTAAAATGGAGCTGGTGTGAAAGGGGAGCCAGAAGGGGTCTCAGACTGCCTCGCTCTCCTCTCACTTCTGCCTGATGCCTATGGGAGGGAGGTCACTGGGACACACCCAGTGCTCAGGAAGCTCCCTCTCCACACCCAGAGGAAAAGGCAACCCTGTGTCAAGTGAGGGCCAGGCACAGAGGGGCTATGAGCCCTTCCCCACCCCCTCTGCAGAGCTGCTACTTACATCAGCAAACTTGTGGTTCCTGAAGTGGGACTTGTTGCACTTTAGCAGCTGCACTGCCAGGTTACAGTCCTGCCGGTATCGCTCCTGCCAAGAAGGGGACAAGCATGGGGATAGGAGAGTTGCACCAGCCTCACCTTACCACCTTCACTCACACCCAACCTGAACAGTCACTCACAGAAGGGCAGTCTACTCACAACAGGGCTTCTCTGTCCCCATCCTCACAAGGCTCTCCCGCAGGTCAGTACAGCTATCTGCACCCCAGCTGACATGCTCAACACTCTCCCTTCACTCCTAACTTACAACCTGTCTCTGTATTTAGCCTCTCACACCTGGGAGTTTGTACTGTCCCATATGTAGTCCCTCCCCCTCCCACCCCAGACCTCTTAACCCAACCAGGCAGAGTTCACCCTTCAGACAACCCCCAGGTTATTGTCACCACTCTTAACTCCCTCCAACCAGTCTCATAAGGAGGTACCCAGAATCACATGCAGTACACCAAACCTGTGGAGAAGGCCCCTCGCCATTGCCACCTCTGATCAGGGAATACCAGCCTTTGGTTTCCCAGTACGCCTGTTCTGCCACCAAATCACACTGCAAATTCCAATCTCGTTCACTCCTGACTCCCACTTTCCAACTTCCACATTGCTGTCTCCTGCTTTCTCCCCCCTCCATACACACCCATTCTCACTGATGCTTACAGCTCCCCAAAACTGTCTGCGTGTTAGTCCCTCTTATTCTCCTTATCCCCCCAGCCCTCCCCCGCCTCCTCCCCTCCCTGCCATAAGTTATTCGTGAAGAAGCTAAAGAACAGACATCACAGACATCAGTCAAGGGCTCCAAATGACGCTTACATTTAGTTCCTCCAGTTTATTGACGGTGGTTTTGGCATCCAACAGCTTATTAGTAAGCTCCACAATCTCCCAGTCCAGCGTCTTCCGGTCCATCTCTGCCTTTTTAATCTGGGACACAAGAACACGAGGGGTCAATCTCACCAGCATAGGGCGCCTCTCGCCCTGCCTCACCCAAGCACAGCACAAATGTATTCAGCTCAGGACGAAGCCTTCAGACAGACAAGGAGCAGCCTGGCTCTCCACAGAGGGAGGGACTCCAATGGCACACAGAGCCAGCCACCCTGTGCTGGCTTTGGAGAATACATGCCATGATTGTCAGCTAGTGAAGCAAGGGAGTTTGATCCTTCCCAGCACAGTGGCTCCTTCTACACCTGCTGCAGCAACACTGTACAGAGCCTGAAGTCCCTCTCAGCCTTGGAGTCAAGACTGGGATACAGGGATGTCAGGGGGGGAGCTCACCCTCATGCTTCCCTGGAGACATACCAGACTGCCAACCCAAAGCCTTCACCAGTAGCAAAGGTCACTCTCCCAGTGTCTGAGAGCCTTTCCTCCCCTGACTCTAGGCAACAGGACAAGATGC